TGAGGAGAACTCCTCAACCTTCCTCGTCACTTTCTCCACGTTGGTCCCCTTCTGGGATGCAGAAGAAGGGGAACGGGTTTTCGGTGTTTTACTTTTTTTTAACATTCTTCTTTTCACTTTTTTACACCTGGCTGTGTGTGGACCTTCAACCCTTCTTCCGTGTGTCTTTCTTTTTCTTCTAAGTTTAGACATTGTTTTAACATTCTTTCTTGTCACTTTTGTTCTTAGCACCTGCTAGGTGTGGACTCTTTCAACCTCTTCCGAGTGTTTCTTTTCTTTCTCATTTTTCACCGAGCTGTCTGTCTTCCTTTTGTATTTGCGTGGCATGATGGATTTTGGTCTAAAATTAAGAATGTCAAATAGTTTTAGTGATCAAATGTAAGAATACAATGTACAATAACAATAAAATACAATAAAGTAATATATAGTAAATAGGCCCTTTGGCACAAATCACCCCAAGCCCACCATTTTGAAAAAAATGCATCCCCCAGCTGTTTTGAGCTAGCATCATGCTAACTGTATAGACTCATGGTGTAGCTTACTAAAGCACTAAAACATGTGTGAACTGTTTTCAAAGTTCTCTAAATTGTTCAAACACAGCAATCAAAAAACCTTGATCATAGAAATTTTACTTCGGAGGGCAAAAAATTGTTTTTTGAACTTAAATGTGCTTACCTCTCAAGCCATGTGTCTCCCTTCTTTGCAGGATGATTGAAATGGATGCCTCTTCAAAAATATGTGGTCACATGACCAACTTCTTCTATGGTTTTCTAGATAAAAGGGGTGGCAATACTTGCCCCTTGGCACAAATTACCCCACTCTCCCCTACTTATGCTGACACATGTCCACAGTCTTAAGAAGTGCAGTTAAAGAGGATTTTACCTCCACACAAGCCTGAACTGGTTGCTCTAATGGAGCTGAGAGGAAATAGAATTGCATAGCCTAGCCAAAGAGGGAGGAAAGGTGTAATGGGGTGGACCCTCCCCCCCACATTACTGTCCCTCTGCAGGTGGTGAAAGTGAAGAATTCCCGGGGAGGGCAGGAAGGAAGCAAAGGCCTAGGTGTAGCGACTGCAGAGAGCCCAGTCTTCCTCTGTTATTTAGTGCGGAGTGGCCTCGAAATTAAAGGACCTGGGGAAAGTCCAGGAAAACCAAGTAACATTATTAGACTGCAGAGGAACCTCGCCAGGAGATGATACGGGTAATAACAGTGTGTGAGCATGAGAAATGCATGCAGGACTAACTTCATTCTGCAGTTATTCTCCATCAAACCTGATTTATCAGTCTGAATTTGTATTACCAAGCCTATAAATGCTAAAGAAAAAATGTACTCAAAGGAAATGCATCGAAGAAATTGCCCTGAGGTAGAGTTGGGTGTATTGTATGGCCTTAACCTACAGATTGAGACCGCTAATGAGCCTCTGCAACAAAATCACAGCTATTGTGTTGACATTCCTGACCTGTGCGAGGACCATAGAGGCGAGGACCCATGGCCGACACTGATTAAGCCTGTCACAAACAGTATGACTGTCTCTTCAATGTGCAGCTTTCTAATAAACTTCACAGATTTACACCATTTTCTTTCTGGCAGGCTAAAGCCAAACATGTTTAACTTTTTTGCAGATAATTTGGAGGTGAAAGGCCGTGTTTATCAGGCTAACAGAGCTCATTCTCATTCCCCAAACACCCCAGCTCTTTTTACAGCCACTTAATTAGAGGGGCAGGGCTGATCTCGTTCCTCTGTGGCAGAATAAAGGTTGGGGAGCAAAAATAGAAAGTGCATTCTCACATGGCTGCACAAATTGAGGCCCCTTAATTTTGTTTTCAGCAGACTGCGAAGCCTCAAAACACATTTAGATGAATTGTGGAATTTCGTATCAGGCCACATAAGAGTTCAGGCCAGGTCAAGATGATTCACAACACTACCAGAAGCTCCAGAACTACTTAAAAATGTATGTAAAGGGCTACAGCTGCCCATTTCTTAGAGAAAATACATGGTGACAGGTGACCCATTAAAGGTGGGTTGGTAATTTTGAAGAAACCAGCTCGAGTGCGCAAGAATTTGTAAAAATACACAGCCGAAAACATTTGCCACTTCCTTACAGAGCCCCTCCTCCAACACACACGAACGCGCACATGACCAATGAGGGCACGAGATAAGCTTTATCTACAATACAGTGTACTAAGAACCGCTACATACATACATACATACATACATACATACATACATACATACATACATACATACATACATACATACTACATACAGCTACTACAGACGGCAACAAAAGTCAGAAATTATACGATTTAAAATAAAAGCAATAATTGTGGATTGATATTATTGAGTAAGAACATGTTTTTATGAACCACAAAGCTTCTGGTCTTCCACGACCCGACCGGAGAAAAAGACGAGCTGCAGGCACGAAACACATTACCAGTAGAAATACATTGCTTTTAAAATCGTTCTGTGTGACACGAAAAAAAGGGGATAATCGTGTTGGTGAACACGAATCAATAGATTACATTTCGTGACTATAACAAGAAATGCCATGAGACTGGGTTGCTATGTCACTGCCTATGGCTGTGGAGAGGTCTTTATAGGTCATAGTCATGGTCACTGAGCTGGAGAGACCATGCAGTGAGGTCAAGTGCTGCCTTTGTGATGTGAATGTTTGAAAGCAGCCACCCATCATGCTCCCACTGTGATCGTTTTTTCTTCAAATGGAACGAAATAATATACATTTTAAAGGTTTTTATTTCAATAAATAAAAGCTTTGCAGTTTTTGGTCGACTTGGCATTCGTAGCCACTTGCTGGTTAGTGAAGGTAAAACTGGTGGTGGGAAAAGTGTGTCCAACTTATCTTTGTCAACAGCAAAACCAGCCCCTGATCAATTGCCAATTTATTTTTACTTTTGATTAGTTTCTTGTTGGGCATACAATGCACATTGTACCCCTCAATTATGACACAAGTCTTATCATCATAGCATTGAATGTCATTAGGGTGTCACAAAAAGACAAAA